ACCCACTGCTCAATCTCGTTGTGGCAGACGTCGAAGCGCGGCGAGATGACGCCGCACTTGTTGATGCGCCCGATCAGCTCGACCACGATCTTGCCCGACCGGTGGTCGTCCACAATCTCAAACTCGCCGATGTAGCCTGAGAGGGGGGCAAGGGGGCGCCTCTCACGCCCGGGGTCGGCGCCCAAACACAAAATCAGAGCCGTTGATCCGCCGCGAGGCGCCCGTTCGCCGCATGAGGGAAAGGTGCCGCTCGTGGCGCGATGCTGGACCCCCTTTCGCAGCCGCTGTGGACTATCGACGCACGGCGGCACGGGAGCTAGCCGGCCGGCACGCCGCCACGCCCGCCCAGCACGTCGCCTCTGCTCCCCCCCCCTCCCAAGCGGGGTGCAGCGCACCGTGCTTCATCATCTGCTGCAGGAACTTGACGATCACCTTGGACACGGGACGGACGAGCACCTGGCGCTTGCCGCGCTTCTCCGCATTGAAGATGCTGCGGAGGCAGTCGTTCAGCACGCTCATGCGAACCTGCGTCCGACGGCAGGGCGCCGTCAGACCCGAGAGCGTGGCGCGGCCGGACGAGGCCTCCACCGCCACCCCCCCGCTCCACCCCGCCCGTCCCGCCCTCCCCGACTGCCGCCCGCTGGGGCGGGCTCACCATGGCGCTCTGCTCCACGAGGCCGCGGCGAGCGTTTTTTTTCTAGCTCATACACCTCCGACGAGCAAGCCTGCTCTAGCCTCGCACGTTGCTTCCTGTCGTCTGTTGTTTGTTGTGCCCTTGTTTGTTTCTCTTGGCACCTTGGAGTGCTGGGGGGGGCGACAGGAAGAATGTGGCCCTGTGTTATGTGTACGCCAACTCAGGGTGTGTGGCAGCCAGCTGGCTGTGTGTCTTGTGAGCTTGTTTGTGTCTGTGTGTCGTTCGTGCGTGTCGTCATCATCTGTCTCGCGTCCACCCATACCGCGTTGGTGTCCAGTCCGAGCCTGCTGCTGGGGCACGGCGCGGAGATCAAGTTGCGAGCGTGCTTGATGTGTGAACGGACCAGTAGTTCTTGCTGATCGTAGATGCTACACTTTCGGATCTTTGGGAGTTTTGTGGTCAAAGTGGTAGGGAGGTAGAAAAAAGAAAAAACTACTCCACAAGTAGAAAAAAGAAAAAAACCACTCCACAAGGGTACAGGCCCGATGCACTCTTGGTCCTCCTCCAGGAGCAAGTCGTCGACGCCGGACCCGCTCATCGACGCCGCCGTTTACAAAGAGGCTCTCGACGAGGCGCCCGACCAAACTGGTCGCCTTGCAGTCGTCACGGGAGCAAACTCTGGGCTCGGCTTCTGGCTGGCTCGCTCGCTAGCGCTGAAGGGCGCCAGAGTCATATTAGCGTGCCGCAACGCGGAGCGTGCAACAAGCGCACGGGACCGGATCGCGGCGGACCTCAAGTCGAAGGGCGCCGCCGCCAGCCTCGCTTGTGAGGAGCTCGACCTCGCCTCGCTCGCCTCGGTGCGCCGGTTTGCTTCGAGGCTCCGCCGACAGGAGTCGTCTCTCGACCTGCTCGTGTGCAACGCGGGCATCCTCGGCGGCGGTGCCTCGGCCGAGCTCACCGAGGACGGCTGGCCGCTCGAGTTTCAGGTCAATCACCTCGGCCACTTTCTCCTCTGTGCCGAGCTCTGGCCGCTGCTCCGCAACACTCAGGGTGCGAGGGTCGTGGTGCACTCGTCGCTC